TTGTTTTTGTCCCGTTGTTGTTCGGTCTATTTCTTGTTTTTGTCCCGTTGTTGTTCGGTCTATTTCTTGTTTTTGTCCCGTTGTTGTTCGGTCTATTTCGGCGAGAACGTAGCGTAGCGGTGCTTTGATGTGGGAACAGGCATGCGGGGGTTTCTTTTATCGTCTTGGCATCGTAGTTGGTTGCTTCCCGTTGTGCGGCCTGTGTGAGGAGGGGGAGGTGCTTTTATGTGGGAATCATCATCTGGGAGATTGTCGTTTATGTGTTTTTGGTCCCAGTAAGAATGGTCATAGGAATTGAACCATTTCTCGATTAATGCGTGTCATCCTTGTAAGCGCAGGGGCCATTTTGCTAATTACCCTTCTCTGTATCGTTCCAATTTTAATGGCCTTGTACGCAAGAGGTTTTGAACAGGGGGAGTTGTAAGGAAGAAGATAAAAAAACGAATTCATTTTTTTTTTTTTTAGCCTTTGCGCTCTGATATTCATGTGACGATATTCCATCTGGTGTGGGTGAGTGATAGTCTACTTTGATTTTGGTTAAGGTAGATTATCATTTACAGTGTAATCAGTGAGGGGATTCTGCAGACTGTTGAGGGTTCAGCCTCCTGATGAGTCGGTGAAACTCCGACGAAACAGTTTGTCACAGCCCCTCGTTTGTTGTCCTCTTCTCTCTCTCTGCCTACGGTTTACCGGGCAGTTCTGTTTGTGACGATATATATGGCTGTCTCCCCCCCCAAAAAAGTGAAACAGCGGAAAGCGATAAAAGCGAAAAAAATGAAATAAAAAAGTGAAACAGCGGAAAAAACAATAAAGACAAGAAAAAAAAAAAGAAGTCGGTCCTCTTGGCTCAGTGGTGGCACGTCGAGGCGAGTGGGACTAGAGGGCGTGCGGTAAACCTCCTCAGGCTGTCGGGACGCCTGAGGAGGCAAGTGGGACTTCGAGAGTAGTGCAGCGAGGCCCTATGCGTCTTGCCCGTCTTGCCGCCGACGGAACGGGACATGCGTTAAAGCTGGGACCACATAGAGAGTAGGAGGAAATTGGTGGATAACTTTTTTTTTTTTTTTTTTTTGAATTGGTGGATGACTTGATAATTAGTTATTAGTAATAGCATTTTTTTTGAATTTGAGGAAATAATTAATGTTATTGATGAAATAATGATTGTTTGGAAAGACAAAAAGAGTCGGACCTAGTCGTTTGGGAGAGAGAGAGAATGGAGATGAGAGGAGAAGATTTGTCAATCGAGTTTTTTTGGGGTTAATTTTATTATTATTTTTCTATTCTGTTTTTGGTAAAGGGCTGATCTATCCTGAGGAGAAGTACGTGCTTGATCTGCATGTTCCCTTCGCAGATATAGTCATTAACGTTTTCTTAAATTTAGAAAATAATTTATTTGTAATTGTTTTGTGAATCTTCTTTTTTATGTTTATTTTATTATTATTTTTTCTAAAATTTTAAAAGCTCCTATCTAATCCTGAGTAGAAGTACGTGCTTGATCTGCATGGTCCCTTCGCAGATACGGTAATTAACATCTTTTTTGAAATTTAAAAAATAATTGATTTATAATCGTTTTCTTAGACAAAGAGTCCACTCTACTCGTTTGGAAGAAGATAGAGATTAGACGAGGAGATGTAACTTTTTTTTTGGCCTTTCTATTCCTGAGGAGAAGTACGTGCTTGGCCTGCATGTTCCCTTCGCAGATGTGGTAATTAACATTTTTTTTTAAAATTTTAGAAAAAAAAAAAATGTTAATTACTGTATCTGCGAAACGAACATGCAGATCAAGCACGCACTTCTCCTCATAGTAATTAACATTTTTTAGATTTTAGAAAAAAAGAATGTTAATTACTATATCTGCGAAGCGAACATGCAGATCAAGCACGTGCTTCTCTTCATAGTAATTAACATTTTTTAGATTTTAGATTTTTTTTAAAAAGATTTGTTAATTACTGTATCTGCGAAGCGAACATGCAGATCAAGCACGCAATTCTCATAGTAATTAATATTTTTTAGATTTTAGAAAAAAAAGAATGTTAATTACTATATCTGCGAAGCGAACATGCAGATTACGCACGTACTTCTCCTCGATAGTAATTAACATTTTTTAGATTTTAGATTTTTTTAAAAAGATTGTAGGAAAAAACAATATGTTAATTACTGTATCCGCGAAGCGAACATGCAGATAAAAAAAAAAAAAAAAAAAAAAAAAAAAAAAAAAAAAAAAAAAAAAAAAAAAAAAAAAAAAAAGCAGATCAAGCACGTATAGATACTACTACTAGGAGTTTGTTGTCTGCCTGTACATTATCAGCCGCAGAACCTCCTCCGTTAAATAATAATAATAAAAAATAATAAAAAAAAAAAAAGAACTTCCATTTCTTGTGGGTTATTGGCGCCAGGTCCCGAATCCGTGCGTGCACGGAGGAGGGAGGTGCTGCCGATGATAACGTACAATTGTACTTTAACCGGGTAAGAAGCACATCCAGGAAATAGGCACCAGGCGCACGACAGCCTGGATAAACACCCTGAAATTATGGATGGCTGGAAATTATGCCAACTGGAAATCCAGGATATGCCTACCGGCGCCTGAACGTGTGCACATCCTGGATATCCAGTAGGCATAATTTTTCACCGTGTATATCCGGGCATATAGGCATTAGTCCCACACTCCGCTCCAGTAAATAACAAATTACCTTGGTAACAAGCCTATCCTGAATATACACGGTGAAATTATGCCTGGATGTGGTCGTGGCCCGCGTATAAAAACGATGGCGGATGCCGTGTGTGGTGCTGAAATTATGTATGCCTGGATGTGGTGGCACGTGTATAAAACCGTTGAAGCCGTTGAGCAGGATGGAAGCGGAGTGTGTGTGCGACTATTGCCTAAGTGGTGGTACCGTGTGTGGGTGTTGTGTGTGCGTGTGTGGGGGGGGGGGCGCGGGGGGAAGAGGGGGGAGAGTTGAAGGACAGTACAGCCATGCAGGGGTGGGGTGTTATATCGGGACAGCGAGGATCCGCTTCTGTGCACACCGTGCCATGGCTGAAGTGATTAAGGAACCACCTTCTTCCCCCGAACACAACGTATGGAGACTGAAAGATGCCGCACATACAGCGACAATGACTTGTGTACGTTGTATTTGGGGGAAGAAGGTAGGCTCATAACTCATAAGGCTGAGGGCGTTAGCTCGAATCCCTGCGTGCACGGAGGTGGTTTTGCGGCTGATAATGTACAGACAGACCAGAGACTCGTAGTAATAAATTCCTGAGGAGAAGTACGTTGCTTGATCTGCATGTTGCCTTCGCAGATATAGTAATTAATGTTTTTGAATTTTTGACAAAATAATAATTTCTTTTATTTATATTGTTTTCTTAGACTCCCCAACATACTCGCTTGGGAGAGGACACAGATTATTAGTAGAGGAGGAGATTAGTCAATTAGCTTTTTTTTTTTTGGGTATTTTACTATTATTATTATTATTATTATTTGTCTAATCTTTTATTCCTGAGGAGAAGTACGTCGCTTGATCTGCATATCACCCTCGCAGATATAGTAATTAACATTTTTGAATATTTTACAAAATAATAATTTATTTTATTTATATTGTTTTCGTAGACTCCCCAACACACTCGTTTGGGAGAGGACAGAGATTAGTAGAGGAGGAGATTAGTCTATTAACTTTTTTTGGGGGGTTAATTTTAATATTATTTGTCTAATCTTTTATTCCTGAGGAGAAGTACTTGCTTATCTGCATGTTCCCTTCGCAGATATAGTAATTAACATTTTTCGAACATTTATCTATATATATTTTAAAGACTCCAATATACTTGTTTTTTCTTGGGAGAGGACAGAGATTGGAGGAGGAGAGGAGATTCAACCTTTTTTTTTTGGTTAATTTATATTTTATTATTATTATTTTTTAATTTGGAAGGCTCCTATCTTTTCCTGAGGAGAAGTACGTGCTTCATCTGCATGTTCCCTTCGCAGATATAGTAATTACTAATTAACATTTTTTGAGCATTTATATATATATTTTTTTAAAGACTCCAATCTACTTGTTTTTTTGGGGGAGAGGACAGAGATTGGAGGAGGAGAGGAGATTAACTTTTTTTTTTGGCTTAATTAACATTTTATTATTATTTTTTTCTAAAATTTGAAAGGCTCCTATCTTTTCCTCAGGAAAAAAAGTACGTGCTTAATCTGCATGTTCCTGCAAGGAAGATGAGCGATAACAACTTCAGAAATCAAACAGCATCAGACACACAAGACCAGATAGTCGTGACCTCGAACCAACAGTAGAATTGCATCACGAGTTTCACCAAATAAGAACACACCAAGAGCTCATAATTGACAATGCTGGTGAAGTCTCATCATCATCATCAATGAAGAACCAATGTTTATATCCTATCTGGCGCTCAGCGCCCAGACTACAGATGGCAGATCCTATCTAGCCTACTCTACAATGCCGCCGGATGACGTCAACAGCTTCACCGAAGTACGAGCAGATCTCGGACAATGCCGTCGTTTCTAGCACCAGGTATGTCTCTCGTATCACTCACAACCCCGTTCCCCAACTCGCAGATGCCACTTGCACCCAAGGACGACCCTGCGCCACACCCAGCTCAGAGCAGTGCAGCTCGGCTATGGCTGCCTGCTCCTTCCAGCTCACCCGTGAGCGCGTGACCGCTGGCCAGCTTCAACGCAGCAGCGCTTGTGCAGCATGCAGCCAGCACCCGAATGCCCAAAGCGTGGGCTGGCCCTTTCCTATATGGAAATTGCCAGCCTGTGTGCGTGCAGCCTGGCTGTGCTGGGCCTCGGCCCAGAAGCTTCCGGTAGGCCCAGGGAGGCTGAGCCTCAGACCAAACGAATTGGCCCAGGGCCACCGACAGTTACTTGTGCCCAACTACCCACAGTCTGAGTTGGGCCTGTGCTGCGAATCTCGCCCAGGGCCTGACTCAGATGCATTTGATAAAGGAGATCAGGGCCTGGGCGCTTCCAACCAACTGGCGCTGCGCAACTGCCTGCATTTTCTCCAGTTGCGAAGTAGTCCAAAATAGGCCTCCTAGGGTCTGTCGGGCCTGCCTTCACTTAGGGCGGCCGACGCTGTTGCAAATAGGGGCCCAGTAGGGCATATGAGGCCTTTGCCTCGCATTCCCTTCGCAGATATAGTAATTAACATTTTTCGAACATTTATATATATATTTTTTAAAGACTCCAATCTACTTGTTTTTTTTTTGGGAGAGGACAGAGATTGGAGGAGGAGAGGAGATTTAACCTTTTTTTTTGGTTAATTTACATTTTATTATTATTTTTTAATAAAATTGGAAAGGCTCCTATCTTTTCCTGAGGAGAAGTACGTGCTTGATCTGCATGTTCCCTTCGCCGATATGAAAGCCACAATTCGATTTGAGAAGAGGTCCGTCCGGAGTACCGTGCAATATTATTAATCTTTATGACAGTTTTTTTTTTTTTTTTTTTTTTTTTCTTTCAATTGTGAGTTTTTTGTACCGGATGATAGTATCTGAAAGGTGTCTTGCAAGAAAAAAAAAAATCAATAAAAAAGGGACACGTCAAGAAGCCGTTGCCCTTTTTTTTTGTCCTTTTTTGTCCTTATTTGGTCCTTTTTCGTCCTTTTTTTGTTCCTTTTTTGTCCTTTTTTTGTCGTTTTTCGTCCTTTTGTTGGTCCTTTTTCGTCATTTTCTTGTCGTTTTTCATCCTTTTTTTGTCGTTTTTGGTCCTTTTTTGGTCGTTTTTGGTCCCTTTTTTTGTCCTTTTTCGTCCTTTTTTTGTCGTTTTTTTGGTCGTTTTTCGTTAATTATGTTGGGTCCATTCGAAGCTGTGTGCAATCATTGTTGGTCCTTTTTTTGGTCGTTTTTCGTTAATTAATAATTATTTTTCTTATCGGATACGGTTTCGGACCAGTGAAGCGCAGAAGTGGAGAAGTGCTTCAGTTCAAGGCGTGAGACCCTTTTTTTAATTTATTTTTTTTGTCTTCGTTTTTTTTTTAATTAAGATTTCTTTTCGGGAATAAAGTTGTATGGGGTGGAGAAGTGCTTCAGTCCAAGGTGTGAAATCCTTTTTTTTTGTGTTCCTTTTTTTTTTTTAATTAAGATTTCTTTTCGGGAAAAAAAATTGTATGGGACTACGTTTCCGAAGTGGGAAACCGAAGTTCATCTGAAGGGGCCCTCAGCGTTCTCTTCTCCCCTTTTTTTTTTTCACCCCTCTTTTTTGGAGTTTTTTTTTTTTTGAAATCTTTAAAAAGCTCCACATCTATGCTCAGACATAAGTCCCATTTGTTTTATACTCAGATTATTTATTTGCCTTTTTTGTTTTTATTTTCATTTTCTTTAATTCATGTTCTTGTCGGTTGGTTGTGACAAGGAGCATAGCTTCCTCTCCCCTAAGAAGGCTCTCCTCTTAGGGCGTATTCACACTACAACTCTTTTGAATGTATCTGACCGTAATTACGTCCGGACCTGGATGTAACTGGCCGCATTTCCGTTTGTGTGAGTATGCCCTTAGTCTGGATATGTCCGTTTTGGTGAGAATGCCCTTAGTCTGGATATGTCCGTTTCGGTGAGAAGACATCTCCTGATTCGCCACCTCTGGGCTTTTATTTTTTTTGGTTATTTTAAATCATGCCCCTTTTTGAAAGGTAATCTATATTCTTCTCTCTCTCTCTCTCTCTCTCTCTCTCTCCCTCTCTGCCTACGGTTTACCGGGCAGCTCTGTTTGACGATAAGAAGACAAAAAATGAATTGCTTTTTTTTTCTTCTCTTTTTTCGCTTTTGCGCTCTGATATCTTTGTGATGATATACACGTAGGGCAGCCGCAGCTCAACCTACATCCACGTGGGCGGCCTTGTACGCAAGAGGTTCTGAACAGGGGGAGTTGTAAGGAAGAAGATTAAAAATGAATTAAGTTTTTCTTGTTTCTGTTTTTCGCGTTGGCGCTCTGATATCATGTGACAATATATGTATATTTTTATTATTATTATTATTTTTTTCGTCACAGGTTTGAGGGCTGTGGCTGGTGGTCCCCACCACCTCAGAGGGGTATCAGTTGTCGGGCAGTGTTGATGCTTAACCACAACCGGGGTTAAGGTGGATTATCACTTACAGACTTACAGTGTAATCACTTAGTTAGGGGATTCTGCAGACTGTCGAGGCTTCAGCCTCCTCCTGATGATTCAGTCGGTGAAACTCCGACGAAACAGTTTGTCACAGCCTCCCCTCGTTTCTTGTCCTCTTCTCCTCTTCTCCCTCTCTGCCCCTACGGTTTACCCATAGGCAGTTCTGTTTGACCATGCCCGTTAAACCGTAGGCAGAGAGGGAGAAGAGGAGAAGAGAAGAGGACGACAAACGAGGGGAGGCTGTGACAAACTGTTTCGTCGGAGTTTCACCGAGTCGGTAGGTGAAACTCGGTGAAACTCCGACGGAACAGTTTGTCACAGCCTCCCTTCGTTTGAATTCCTTTTTTCTCCCTCCCTCTCTGCCGTCGGTTTACTGCCCAGTTCTGTTTGAATGAGATATATAATTTGAAACGACAGTCAGTTATTAGCTCAGATTTCTAACTGTTTTTTGGGGTTTGTCTGTTCGTTCATCTGGTGTGGATACTCCAGATCATCTCTGGGCTTCATAATCTTGATGCTGAGAATGTGGCGGCGGTTGTTGCGGCTGCAGATCAGGTATGGTACTCCCTTTCCTACAGATATACCCACTGAGCTACAACAGTTTTCTTTTTGTTTTTTTTCTGTTTTTTTTTTTGGTTGTGCACATTAAGTTCTATGAAAAATAGTGACTTGTGAATACGCAATAGTAATATGATTAAATGAGTTGATATTGGTTGATTGATTTTCAAATTTTCATTTGCATTTCCTCTCACTGATTTTCACTCAAGGTGACAGGATTGGACCAATGAAAATCAATTACGACCCTCTGTGTACCCCAAAACGAGATGCGCATATAATTGAATAAGTAATAAATATTAAATATGAACCAACGGGCCTAGCTAAGATGGTACATTATTAAGTTTATATCTAGGCTACCAGAGTGGCCCGGGGTCACTTGCCCGGCCGGGCCAAAAAAAAATATAATAATAAAAAAAAAAATCTAAATTTGGTGAAGAATTTCGATGTGACCCTGAGGCAAAAGTTGTTCAGTTTATTTTTCTGCATAACATAGTTTTTTTTGGGTTTTTTGGATTTTTTTTTTTTTTTTTTTTTTTTGCTGGGACCTTCCCTGGTCCTTGCACGAGCTGGCCACCCGGGACCCGGGCGGCCCGGCTGGTAGCCTAGTTTTATATAATTAATTAATATGATGATAGACATTGTGATAGAAATGACAATTTCTACACAAGAGATAGTAGAAAAGTTGAGAATAGAATATTAATATAGAATATAAATCAAATAATTGAATTACAATTTTTTTTTCTTAATAAAGATTCTCAATAAATCCATAAAATAACAACGAATAAGCCACGGACTGTTTAAGTATGGAGCCAAGTTCCCAATCCAGATACAATCAGATTGCCAGAATAACACATCGTTCTGAATCACCTGTGGTTATGGAGATGTTATGGAGACGATACAAAAGGTGGAACAATCATGGCAATGAGCAGTGAGTCATCACACACGTTCACACCACGCAAGTTGACAAGAAGCGTACAGCAATCGATAACCATCGATCATTACACCAACACTGTATTCCGCCAAACACGGCCGCAAGCGCCACGGTCATTTTGGCAAAGCCAAACGACCGGGACCGAAAGAGGACTACTTCTGCGTCAACAATCCTTTTTAATACTTGTGTCAGACGGGATACTACCGGTAGCCCATGATGATTACCGGGTGCGTAACAGGTAGGCCTCAAAAGCCAAATCCACGCAAACGGGTACTAGCAGGCGAAGCCGAGGCCTGAATGTACCGCAATTCGAGCCAAAACCAAAGCCAAACCTGAATGTACCCTGGGCTCCAAGGGTAAACCCGAAAATCACACGAACTGACTACAACAAGCGCAAAGCAGTAAAAAAGCAGTAAAAAATCCCTGTCACTACCAAGCATCCTACGCAGGAACCCTGCCGCTGTGCTCGCCTACGTACATACAGCAGACAACGGGGAATCAAGCGGCGGGTCAGCTTGTTGATGTAAACACAAGATCCAATCAACTACCTGGAGACAAGTTCCAGAGCCAATTTCCAAGGCTCGTCCCTCCCGTGAGCGAAACGCTTCAAAACACGTAGGAAAAAATCAAATGGAAAATCCTTCAGACGCAGTTCCCTTTGCAGAGAGATCATTCTTGGGGAATTTCGTGCCGGATCGTCGTATTCCGGTCGATGCGATGTAAGTAACTCGCTACGACTGCACTCTTCTGCAGTTTGCTCCCCCACGAGTGGTACGACTGGCCATTATGGAAAGTCAGCGATTCGTCATGCCAAATTGATGCCTCATTCTTAGAGACCTGCACACAAGACAAGTAAGGAAAACTCCGACTTACTCTGACCTCACAGCCCAAAAAGTCCCATGTGCCTGACCCGTTATCAGTATGTTTCAACGTGAGGTTGTCGGGATAGCACCGAGCAAAGTCGGAGAAGACCTTATCCACTTCGTCAGGGGCAGAATTACGACTGGCGACGAAAATGCACACATCATCAATGAGTCTAACGCCGAACACGCGACTCCTCAATAGTTCCCAAACTGCTAAGAGAAAGGAATTCAGCTCGCGCGCACATTATGCAGGCAAGGATGCCCACCCTCTGCTGCAGCGACACACCCAAGGCCGACGTAAATGTGTGCGAGAGTTCAAATACCACGAACTTCCGTATTTCTTCGAAACTCAGCTTCCTCCAGTGATCGTAGCCCGTTGTGGTGCCAAAACTAGCACCCCTTCCTCTTGTGTTAACACAAACAAAAGACCGATGCCTCTGGCTATGGAAGTCCAATAGCCAGTCAACAGAGTCCAAGATGTCCTGATGTGGTAGCAGGCTAAACATATTCTTGATGTCGAAGGACATCGCCATCACATCAGGGGTTGCATCCAAAGAGAGAAGCTTCCGGTTAGCTCTGGTCAAGGTGCTTTTCAAAGAAGACACAGCTTTCAAGTTAAAATGCCAGTCGCCTGGGAGTGTGTACAACAAATGGTTAAACCACCAGTTCACGCCCCTGCCTATCCCTGCTATTGCAGTGAACTGCACCCGGGCCTGCGCGCTTCGGCAGAGGCCCGGTAAAGCTTTGGGGCCTCTATTCTGGTGGTGCAATGGATGGGCGGACACCAAATGTGAAAACAACAAACACAGCAGACAATGAAAGCCGAAGTGCCAAGCTTCGAAAAAGGGACTAAAAAAGAAAAGAAATAAAAAGAGAAAAGAAAAAGAGAAACTTCTGAGGCCCGCCACTTGGGGGGTGGAAAAGGATTGTGAGGAAATAAAAAACCAGGAAAAAAAAACGAAGTCCGGGCAAAAGAAAAGACGAAAAGACAAGAAAAAAAAGGATCTGAGGGCGTACTCACACTAGCAGTATCTCAAATGTATCTGACAGCGTTCACGGCCATACCTAGATGTATCTGGTTGCAATTCCGTCCAAAAATACGTAAGAAATCTGTGGTGTGAGTATGCCCTGAGTGTGGGTAGTGCCCTAAGCCCGTGACTGACGGGACAAAACGTCCTCTCAGTGATGTCAGGCGCCCTCCTGCCGTGATAGGCGGGAGGAAACGTCAACTTCGTTTTTCCTTTTTTTGGTTTGATTTTGAGAAGCAACGAGCCAGACCCTCTGAATGTGGCCACAAACTCCAGAAACTTAGTGTATCTTTGTGGAACCGACCGTATTTAGGGCATCCCTCCACTAGTCTCAACATGCAGAAACGACAAAAATCATGGCTGTGTTTTTTTCCATCTTCTAATGGAAGATTCACTCTCGTTTTGCACATTTGCCGAGTAGTGTAGCAAGGCCCTTAGGGCATACTCACACTGCCACTTTCCAGAATGCATCTGACTGCAATTGCACCCTCCCGCTGCCACGAATTTTTTGAATGTTTTTTCAGCCACCGATTTATTCAAATCTCCTTTTTTCCCTCTCTTTTTTTTTTTTTTTTTTTTTCAGCCCATGCAATTGATCCTTTTGTCTTATTCTTCAGCCTGACTGGCGTGGCACATGAGTGAAAATGGAGTAAAAATAAAAAACGAGATACAAAATTGAAAACAAAAATGACCCACGGCCTGCTTTTCAGTCCATCAGCTTGCAGCAGGTCCAGCACAAAGAGGCCAGTACCCGCGCACTTTCAGGCTCGGCAAATTGATTTTTGGGATATTCAAAACAGGTATGGGTGAACTGGTGGTTTAAGGCCTTTGCGACAGCCTTGCTTGTTCGAGCGGTAGGCTCAGTGTACGAAGGGCAAATAGGACGGAACCGATCCGGGTCCTTGTGCTTAGGCATCACATAGGCATGCCCGATGGTCCCTTTCCCATCCCATTTAGCGAAACCAAGCATCCCATCATCCCGCAAAGTTTCCTTCATCGCACTCAATAGTTTGGTTCCAGTACCCATCACCGGAATGTAGCCAGCATTACGGATGAACAGAGACATCATGCCCTCGTAAAAGAGCAAGGGGCACATTACCAATGTTTCCCCAGGATTCCGGTCCAAAGGGGTAAGAACCAAACCTTTGAAAACGGTCTCTCAACTCGATGACATCGCGTTTCTCCAACAGACACGAATCAGCGAATGCAGGCCTAGTCATGCACCTTCTAAGTTCCGTCACAGAGCAAGAAACAGACTGTCCCTTCACATTAGCCCAACGTTCGAAACCATCGCTGATTTCAGTACCCAATCTTCCCACTCTGTCAACCCCGTTCACTCTCGGGATGTTGTTGGCATTAGACAACAGTGGGGAAATACCTTCCACCTCACGTAGTCTTACGCGCACGTGACCTCGTACCCTAGGGTACGGCAAACCTGCACAGGTGCAGGGCAGCACTTCCATTCGTGCAAGAGCACGATGCTTGTGCAACATATCCGCTATGCTTGGGTTACGAACCCAAACAAGGCGGATCTTACATCGCGCACGACGAACTATGCAAGGAGGTAGGTGTAGATCACCCAACTTGTCGTTAACCAACTTCCGAACATCAGCTAGCTTAATTCTATCATCAAACAACAAGCGAATGACGATACGAGCAGGAAAATTGAAGCCAAAGCCATCCTTCACAATTCTGCCAATGATGCGTCGCAAATAAGAGCGAGGCCCTTTCTTGTCAAACTCTTTGATAGTATTGAACAAACTCGAGAGGGAATCCAAATCCCATCTCCTCAACGATTCCAGCCGATGTGGATTCTTGAGGATAGAAAACAAGTAAGGTTTATTAGTACGTTTACATGCTTTCCAGCGTCGTAAGTACTTAATCACACCCTTGGTTTCGAAGGCCTGCTTAAAATCTTTTAAATTCCCAAACACGCCATTATAGGACAATCACGAGAACCCAAATGCTTTGATAATCCCACGCCACTTACTACACCACGTGGCCCCTCCCTCAATATGCAAGGAGAATTCACGAACGCCGGCATCGTCCTGTGCACGTAGCACTTCGAAGATATCCACGGTCCAATTATCATCACCATTCAGTCGAACACGTATAGGGTTGACCGCCCGTTCGACTGCCCTCACCTCGAAGTCAGCAGTTCGGACCCGACTTCGC